ACTAATGTGAACGCCCCCGACATACAATGGATCCATTTTAATCAAAGAAGCCTGCGAATGTTGGAACCAATCCATAGCGAAATATTTGGTAAACAAAAGATCTGAAGCCCACGGCAAGAGACATGTGATGAAATCATTTCATAGTTTGAATTAACTGGGTTAAGTTGTTAAATGAGATTGTGTCATTAATCGCATTGATGGTATGAATCAATATCATTTCATATATGCTGGCCGTACGGCATATACCTTTTTGTATATACTTGAATTAATAGTCGATATCCTTAGAAGAGACAAAATGGCGGACAATGCCTTGAGTACATAAAAAAGACACGGAAGTCATAAATAATTTGTCTGACTTCTCTGTCGACGAAATCACGAAACATTTAAAATTTTAGGTAGTAAGATGGCAATTCAGCAGAACTTTCCTGAAACCATTTACACTATTTACATTGTTCGGACTGTCCTCATCTTCATTGCAGGCTGGCCTCTTCTATAAGCTCAGTGTTACGAGGCGTATATTTGGCTTCATCCAATCGTTTCTAACAAATTGTTTAATGAAGATTGTCTTTAATGGCTACAATTCTAGATCATTTCATACTAACGTGGTGTCAACCAGCGCTCTATCCTTGAACCTACGCTGTTTCTGAGCTTCATCAAATATCTTCATAATAGCATCAATGCTCAAATAGATGGCACGAGATGACACAGATATTTACGCCTGTCTTAACAGAAAGACCAACAGACTCGACAAACTAAACCCGACAACTGCTTTAGAAAAGGCACATTCAGTCAATGGTTAAATGGGGCCGAGAAACGGCTTGTGAATTTTAACGCCTACAAAAACGGCTTATATTTAACGCCACAGAGAAACTTTTCTGACTTCTATCAACATGGCTGATGCTAACTTCCTGTAGAACAACACTCTACGCCCTCTTGGGTTCACGTTTTCTACGGACATGATGTGGAGCGATTACATCGAATCATTAGCTACGTAAGTTGGTTCACTGTGTCGTATCAGAAAATGTTTCTTGTCAGAATCCATTATGCCCATTTATTAATCAATCTTCTGTCCGCGCATTGAATATTGCTGCCATATCTGGTCTGGTGTTCCTGCTGTATATTTGGTTTGGTTTGTTTGACGGCATATCAACCTCAATGGGTTATTTAATTCCGACAAAATTTTTATTGTTGGTAATAGTTTTTTTTTCCCCAAAACGTATTGCTGGTAATATTTTTTGCTTCAAATGTCTATTTCTGGTAATATTTTTCTTCAAAATTGTATTGCTAGTAATAAAACATATTTTTCATACTTTTATAGTATTTTGACCCCAGTTTGATCAGGAGGTTTTGAGGAGCGTGGAACCACCTCTTGATGTATGGTGTTGCCAGGTCCACTCTAACCTTGCGTGGTAGCATCTGTTAGGGTCCCACCTATGGGCAAATATTTAACCCCCAAACTGGGGTCAAAACGTATGAAAATAGGTTGTATTACCAGCAATACATTTTTGTAAAAAAATTGTTACCAGCAATGAATTTTTGAATAAAAATTATCATCAGCAATACATGCATAATACCTGTTAATAAAAAACGTTATCGGCATTAAATACCCCATTTAGGTTGATATGCCGTAAAAGAAAACAAACCTTTACTGCACATCTCACTAAATTATACTCTTTCTCTTTCGCCCCTGCTAGCCCACTTTGCCCTGGTGTCATTATCACCTTGCTTAGTGTGAAGCGATTAAAAAGTATTAGCAAAGACTTTAAACCTACCAGTGTCTACCATATTCTAAGACTTAAAAAACATCGAGAAAGACAGCAAACTAGGTATTTTGTTTTAAGCGAAAAGAAAAAATTGGATCGTTTATCCATGGCGACAAAGCCTCCTTTCACAAAAAGAAAAAAAATAACTTGTTCCGTAAATATAGTAAGTGTCCCCCGTCCAAAACTGACATCATTTAAAATTTGAAAATCTGTGTCAGTAAATGTCCCAGGCAAACGAAATTACATAGGCTTCATGTAGAGCAATAAAACATTCATTTATCAAAATTCAAACAAAATCTTTAAAGGGATATAAATTTTATAACCGATTCCACAAAGCTTCACTACTTGTGACACGACACATGTTAAGTTGGTAGTCAAGCTCTTGCCAAACACGCTGTAGCATGGATTGCGTAACATTATTCAGAGACTAGGCGATTCTTTGTTTAAGTTCCTTTAGTCTCGGAGGTAAAGCGGGTATATAGACCTGCCCTTCCACATAGAAAAAAAATAAGTTAAGTCATGTAAACGTGGTGGCGATTTCAATAGCACATTATCATTATTAATGGCATGCCGGTATGGTTTGGTTTGTTTTACGGCATATCAAGTTCAATGGGTTATTTTATGCTGACAAAATTTTTATTGCTGGTATTAAAACGTATTTTCATACTTTCATTGTTTTGGCCCCATTTAGGTAGGGGGTAATTATTTGCCTATAGTTGGGACCCTGACAGGTGCTACCACCTAGGGTCAGGGTGAACTTGGGAACACCATTACTTAAGAGATGGCTCTACGCTCCTCAAAACCTTCTGAATAAAAGCTTTATTGTCGAATGTAGTTCATCGTCTTGCCCAGAATGCGGATGTAGTCTATCATCTTACCCAGGACGTGGATATATTTTATCGCCTTACCCAGGACAGGGCATGCCGGATTCATCTTTCTTGTAGATCCTCATTGAGATAATTCTGTAATGGGCCCCTAGGGTTTAGTACAATAATCCGAACAAACACACACAACTGGGAGACGGCACGGTGCCGTGGAGGTATCCGATTTCGAACCATTCGCCCATGGGTGTGTCACCGACGGCACTTTAGATGAAGACGAATGGTGAATAAAATATAATTGTACCTTATATTTTGAAGAATAAAATTTGATAAAAAAAAAACAAAAAAAAAAAAACTGTAATCCTTTATGGCTCTCCTGTATGCTACGCCCCTTTAAGATATGGGCGATCATGGCCCTCCACAATTTCTTGTCCTTTTCTTACACTTGTCACCCATATATTACAGCAGTTTGAAGAAAACCAGTACGTTCAAAACCTCAGTCACGATGACTCGGGTCTTCGTGCAAGTACAGCCATATCCGTTTACCTAATTTCACTCACATTTGTTTGAAACACAGTGCGCAACTCAAGAGCATTGTAACATGAAACGATACAAGCTGAAATTGTTTCAGACAAAAGCGGATGCAACCTGCTAAGCCAAGACAACTTTAAATAAATAGGGCACCGACTAGGTCCTAAAAACACTCTTTCCTTGAAACGTTTAATTTTACTATCTCTAACGCGTTTGAGGATATTGGTGGGTTATCCATTACTTTCAAACATCTTCTGGATACTAGCAAGTTCTTCATCTAAAAGTAAGAGAACAGAACATGCAAGCCCCATGAACCAGGGTCGAAATTGAACCAATTTCCCAGGCCTTGTGAACAAAAGAAGCATGTGAATGTGAATGTGCACCAATAGCTTATGGGTAGATTCTCCGACTGATGCGCAATCAGCCGGGTTTCGACCCCGACTTGAAGCAAACAGATGTCTAGCCACACTGATGAGCTGTGATAAAACGAAACAGTGTGTGTGCGTGTCTTATTATACAGCATTTGTTTTACAGTTTGTTCGTTTTGTAGGACGAATTTCAATGTTAAGGGCGGTGGGCATTGAATTTGATTTAGGCAGGAACGTTTAATACCGGATTTTATTTTAATTTATAATTCATAACGGATTTAAATGGTTGGCATTAACCCCTTCCCTGTCATTTATTTTGGGAAAAGCGTTTCATTTTCAGACAGTTTGAAGCACCTTGAAGCATCCGAGCTGTGGCTAACACCTCTACCAGACGTATGATTTGACAATTTGATTTGTTACCAGCTGAAAATAGGCATAAAAAGAATCAATGACGTATCAACACGTCTGTAGGTGGTTTATCAACGGTACATTTTGAACGTGTTTATCCGTCGCTATTTGAAAAATGCATTTCCGGTAAAAACGTACAACTTCTACGCCGGGTAAGAGGTTAATGGTCTAAAATCCTTATTGTATTTTTTTTTAATTTATTAAAGATATGAATATTTTTCATGGAGTAAAAAAAAGACAGGGTTTCAGACATTGATGAAATTGTCGGGTAGTGCTGAATTTTAAACATTTCTTTTAAGCCATTAACCTGATTTTATTTGCCATCTGTTTTAAATGCTTGTCCAGTTTAAAGAGCCACACATGTTTAAAGCAAAACGAAGGCATACATTAATATCATGTGATTGTTATACTAGACAAGGGAGGCGACAGCCATCACCCGCATAGAAACTCCGACTGATGCCAAATCGGTCTGGTTTCGATCCAGGCTTGAAGCAATTGGAGGTCTAGCCGCACTGATGAACTGTGATACAGTGAAACGTGTTTTATATATATATATATATATATATATATATATATATATATATATATATATATATATATATATATGCAATAATTCGCTGAACTAGTGGTTTGTAAAATCCGGGGATAATCTCGTTATTAAATAATTATCTACCATACAAATATTAAAATCTAAAAAGTTGGTAGAACAGATTAAAACTTTTAAAATGTTAAAAAATTCCGATAATATTAAACTTGCTGCATATGTGTACAGCAACCTTTCTTATAAACATCTTTCGTTAAATATTAGACAAGGAATTTTTTTTTCCAGTTTTTTCAGTGTTCTTACATTTTTCCGTTTGGTGCTGATAAATAATGAAAATGGCTAAAGAAGTGGCTGAAAGCACTTGGGACAATGGGCAAGTTTTGTGCTCCCTTACTCCCACTAAACGGGGGGGGGGACTAAGAACGCTGGAAAAACTAAAAAAAAAAAAAAAAAATTCATTGTCTACCATATTTAACGAAATTATATATATATATATATATATATATATATATAAAAAAAAAAAAAAAAATGAGAGTTGTCGGAATAATTTGCAGGAAAAAAAAAATCAAGCTGAATGAAGTTTTATGAACCCGACCAAGATTTTAGGGAAGGTCTTTTCACTCACGACGATTCCATTCTTATAGATTACTTGAGCGGCAAGACATTGTAAAGAGAGGAATTTCAAAGGATTCGCCAAGACGCGTTTCGTTTTCAAAAGTTCTAACGGTCTGATTCCATATTTATTCATTGCATCAATATGGCCACCGGCGTTTATCAATAAATGGGTTAAGCAAAATAAATGGGAATTCTCTTTGGGCAATAGAGAAACAAGGTGCAGCGGACTATTTTCGAGTGCATCAGGACAATTGGCATCAGTAGAGCATTTCAGAAGGAAAGATATAACATCTAACGGAAACTCACTTAGAATTGCTCTATGTAAAAGTGTCGTTGGATAAGGATACGAGGACATTCGTAGTATTGTACCAACGCAAGCTTCAATCCAAAGCTTTTCCTTTTGGTTTAGTTCGTATCTTTTCAAGGCCTGAATATTAGCAAGAAGAATTTCGAGGAGTTCACAGTATGCAACTTTGTAAAACTCAACGGCACCTCTGAGAAGACTTCCCCACGTATCGGCATTTAAGAAATCAAATAATTGTTTAAGTCCGTATAAATATTCACTTACATCGCCTACACTACGAAGAAAACGATCGCGAAACAATTTAATTACTGTCTCGACAGATCTGAATGTCGGAGACCGGACGCCTTGAAGACGTCTTGTCGGGAAATCATACGCTTCCGAGAGAATTTTTATAGACTGTAAGAGATCTTCTCTGAGGACTCGGTGTTTGGCTACCATGATGAACGCGTTGTGAAGCAAATGACTGAACCTGGATAGCAATCGAAGTAAAACAATCAACGCTTGTAAGTAAACATCCGCCTCTTGAAAACGATCGATGTCGTCTTCTGTCTGGAATTCGATTCCCAAGTCAGTTTCGATTTTCATTAGAGTCTTATCGGCAAAACCGATGCAATTTTCCCAACGAATTCGTAGAGACTTCCTCCAGCATTCAAGCCCTTTCTGTTCATTAGATCTAAAAACTATGAATTTCGCTCCGCAGAATTCCAAAGCTTGCGAGTAGGACTTCAACGTGTAAGATTTATAATTAATCAGAAAGTTTTCTGCATTCTTTTGGTTCCTCATGATGGCCACACATAATGCGTTCTCTTCTTGTTCGTTTTTATGATTTTTGTTTACACCACACGCCAGCAACGTCTTCATTCGAGCGATGTGTCCATTCGCAGTGGCCAACAAGAAATCGCTGCTCCTGATATCATAGGACAATTCCGAAACCCAAAAGAACATAAATAACCCGCTATATCCGACTCCTTCTGGCGTTGATATAAGTAAATTTGACCGATGTACTTTGTTTTTGTACAAACTCAATATAGACATCAAAGAGTTGTACCTGTTTTTGAAAGCATAATCAGCACAAGCCGTTTCACAGAGTCCGTGTCCAACGGCGGCTTCGCGCCTCATTAATAACATCATTAGGAAAACATTTAGTTTCCTTATAGCTACGAGGAGTGGAGAAACTGATTCACTGCGGTCACAGTAGCCATCATCGATATCAGCCCCACATTCGTCTAAAAGATATTTCGCGATGTCTTTGAAGCCTCGTTCGCAGGCATGATAGAGAAGCGTTTTGTTTTCGATCTTTTGATAAACGATCGTTTGTCGTTCGCGTAACGTTAAGGGAGTAAGAAGTGAACGTATTGCATTAAGGTTATTTGAGGTTATTAAATCGAAAATTGAACGCCCGTCTGGTAGGCGAGTTTCAACCGAGCCATCGTTTACGGAGCAGTCGGACATCTGTAAGTAGACAAGAAGAAATGTTTAGCATGTAACTGTTTTTGTCAGATACTATATATATATATATATATATATATATATATATATATATATATATATATACACACACTACTCTTGGCACTAGTTAAATAGAGTGGTCCATTGGTGTTTAAAGAGAAAAGAAAAAAAAAAAAAAAAAAAAAAAAAAGAGAAAAAAAAAGAAAAGAGAAAAAAAAAGAAAAAAGAAAAGAAAAGAAAAAAAAAAAAAAAAAAAAAAGAAAAAGAAAAAAAAGAAAAAAGAAAAAAAGAAAAAAAGAAAAAAAGAGAAAAAAGAAAAAAAGAGAAAAAAAGAAAAAAAAGAGACAAAAGAAAAGAAAAAAAGACAAAAGAAAAGAAAAAAGAGACAAAAGAAAAGAAAAAAAAAAAAGAAAAAAAAAGAAAAGAAAAAAAGAGAAAAAAAAAAGAAAAAGAAAAAAAAAAAAAAAAAAAAGAGACAAAAGAAAAGAAAAAAGAAAGAAAAAAAAAAAAAAAAAAAAAAAAAGAGAAAAAGAAAAGAAAAAAGAGAAAAAAGAAAAGAAAAGAAAAAAGAGAAAAAAGAAAAGAAAAGAAAAAAGAGAAAAAAGAAAAGAAAAGAAAAAAGAGAAAAAAGGAAAAGAAAAAAGAAAAAAAAAAAAAAAAAAAAAAGGAAGTTTTTTTTGTAAATAAGCTTTCATGATACCATCCTCAAACCGCGACATTTGTCAGTATCCAGAAATATTTTTTTTTTATCATTTTATAAAAGGAGGTCATATTCGTAGGGCCTCTGGATCAGAGGCATTGCTGTCGGATGTAGTTTATCGTCTTACCCAGGACGGTAGGCGAGTTTCAAGCGTGTAATCGATTACGGAGCTGTTAGATATCTTAATAATACGTAGGGAATATTAGCATATAACTGCTTTTCAGTGATGCTAAGCTAAATCGTGATAGACACCAGTTAAATAAAGACATGGTGGGGGGGGGGGTGCAATTGCGAATCTAAATTTCCGCTGAAACTCCTATGGATTTGCACATCCGAATGAATGCAACTTCTATTCTGCATGGCCAGCTTTCGTGTCGATGCGCCGGGTTCGTTTGACGCATCTGGCTCAACCAACCGTGTGATTGCCGCAACAGGTCTTAATTCATTAGACTAGTTCACTCGTTAAAAAAAAAAAAAAAAAAAAAAACAGTACAGTGTAACCCGGATATAAGAGAAACCCGGATATAAGAGAGATTTTCTCTGGTCCCAAATTAGAGCTTGTGTTAATGTATACAAAATAGACTGAACCCGGATATAAGAGAAACCCGGATATAAGAGACTTGTTCTCCGGTCTCGACAACTCTTATATCCGGGTTACACTGTAATTTTTTTTCTAGAATTTCGACCCTTAGCCCGCAACATCTGTTAAAATTGAAAAAAAAAAAAAAAAAATTGATTAAAAGAGTCTTTAGAAGTGGGGGACTTATTCGTAATATTGATACAGTTTCCAACCGATTCCTTATTTTTCCAGAATTATCGGAACAGAACATGGTTTTTAAAGACAACATTTGAAAATGTGCTTACGTCGGTGATATCTCCTGGTTTTGTCCGTTTTTTAATTTACACTTTCTTTAAATAGTATTTTTGACTTTGTTCATTAAAATGCTTAAAACTTTAAAAAAAAATTTTCGTTTGAAAAGTGGGGTGATAATTCTCATGCTGTGAATTTCATTTCATATTCCTCGGTTTGGCATGGTTAAAAGAACAGTTTTACAAGATAAAATTTTGGTCCTTATAAAAATTTCTCTCTTCCTTGTTAATAAAGGACTATTTTATTTTTTATAGTTTATTAATATATAGAAATATAAAAACTGAAACAAGATACCCTTAAATGTATTACTTGGTATGTCTAATTAATACCTTTCCCTCCCCCACAAAAAAAAAAAAATCGAAAATAAGTTTTGAAACTGAAATTAAGAGAAGCGCGCAATGGTTAAATATCCATTTTTTTTAAATATCGTTTAAAACTGAAGATTTTATAAAAAGGTGTACAAATCTAGATTTCAATGGATAATATAGTACAGTGTAACCCGGATATAAAAGATTTTTTTCTGATCCCAAATTAGAGTCATACTTACCTAAACAAAATAGACCAAACCCGGATATAAGAGAAACCCGGATATAAGAGACTTCTTCTCCGGTCCCGACAACTCTTATATCCGGGTTACACTGTACTTTGAAAAAAAATATAGGAATGGCTGTACTAAAGGGTCTCACAGCTCAGAATGTAATTTATTCCGTTTTAGTTTCGGAATCAGGGTCATATTAAACGCAAAAATAAGATAAAGGAAATTAAACACTCGCTTCCCGAGAGTCGATCGCTTCCCAATCACCATATATTGTGACGGTTTTGCTTCGAGGTCGTATTTTCTTGATTCGAGATGAAACGAAGAGGTTTTCCGCCATTACCGATAAATTCATTTTCCAATATTATAGCTTATAATTAATTTAGATATGCCGGGAGGAGAAGTGTCAGTTTGCTAATGCCAGGAGTTACGTTGTATTTTAGAGTTGAAATACTTGCAAACATTTTCATTGGTAGCATTTTCTCTTTTTCGAAATATATAGATCGGAGAGAGAGGTAAACAAGCTTTCGATATCTGGTTAAGAAACATCTAAATTCTTATCACCCAAAAAACAAAAAAAAATTCAAAAGAATATTGAATATATTTAACAATTTAGTAATATTACATGGCTTTTTTTCCTTGAAAAAGTGAAGCAATACTTTTAATATTTCAGTAAGACGGACAAACCAAATGCTGGGAAATAAAAATAATTAGGATTATTCCTAAATTAGCATTTAGTAAAGAATTAATAACGATGTCAGTGCTTTTGGCAGGAAATAATTCGAATGTAATTATTGCCGCAATAAAAAAAAATACCAAAATTTATTGTATATAAAATACAAGTACGGCACAAGGCTAAAATGAGGAGGGGTTGAGGTTTGTCGTCACTAACTATCTCGTACCTAACAAATCTGATTCACGACCCATTCACTCATTACAATTTCCACATTCATCATAAAAACTCGTCCGTCACCAATCAATCCTCCATACACCACAATACCCCATGCCATAAAAATTTAATGACAATAAATTATTATATTTAAGAATCTAATCATGAACAATGAGAGGGGATGGAGATGAACCCAATAACAAACTAAATATTAACACTAAACAAACTGATATTTGTAGGGCCCGTCCAACCCTCAAAAAAAGAGAGGCCGCTGTATTCTGCACATTGGACAAAATCAAGAAGCTTTCTCGCTAAGGGAAAGAGGAAATTATATACAGGCATGAGAAATAAATAAAAAAAAAATTTAAAAAATACCTGGTCTGATTTCTTCTGTTCGCAATAATTTAATACCGGTAAAATGGTTCTGATTTATTCTTCCGTGTCGCTATGCATGCTGGGTATTTTATTTTATTTTATTTATTTATTTTTTCTCTGATCGCTGCCGCAAACCTTATATATATATATATATATATATATATATATATATATATATATATATACGATAATTAAAAAAAAAATGCATGTCTAAATGGAAAATGTTTTCTTTTGACCTCTTTCGTACTAAAGACTTCATCGGAGTAAATTTGTTATTGCTACGAATACACATGCGCATGAACGAGGGATGCTGGGAATTTGAAAATGCCTTGAACCGCAATTATGTATTTTTGTACATAATAAATATTGGGATTTGAAAATGTCTAGAGAGTGACTTGGTTGCAAGTTCATCTAGAGTAAATTAAAAAAAAATCTTACAGATGATTTTATTTTTTAATTATTCATTTATTTAACTTTTTCTTATACACATGGTTTCAGTGCTAACTTAGTGAAAATTATATATATATATGCACATATATATATATATATATATATATATATATATATATGTATGTACATATATAAATAAAAAAATCCATTCCACACACACACACACATATATATACATATATATAACTTAGACAGCAATTATACATTATTATTGCTCAAAGTAGAGATGAATAGTGTTATAAAAACTTCAGAGAATTCCAGTAAGATATCTTTAATCATTTTTAAGTTACTACGGTTCAGAACTTAATCTAACAATTGTACAATTTTTGCTGTTACACCGGCATAAACACACACACACACACACACACACACACATATATATATATATATGTATGTATGTAAAAGCTTGGAGAGTAATTATACATTCTTATTGCTTAAAGTAGAGACCAATAGTGCTGTCACACGATCCACGGGCGTGCACGATCTGCGGTTTTTACGAAGGTGTGCTGAAAAGATTTGGGCCTGACCTACATCTCAGAAAACAAAAAAGTCAGTAATTTTCTAAGCGTAGCTTAGATGTGGCACAAGGCCGAAAACATGGGGCACCCAATGAGGACAGAACTCACTACTCAATCGTAGTTCTTCTGAGTGAAGCTTGCTAAACATTACATCAAGTCGAGTTGGCCCCAAAAGAATTTCTAAGCGTAGCATAGATGTGACACAAGGCCAAAATTATACAGCACCCAGTGAGGATCAAACTCACTATTCAGACGTATTTAATCTAGGGAGACAAGCTTACTAACTATTAAAACACGTCGAGTTGCTCCCAAATGGTTTTCTAAGCGTGGCTTAGATGTGGCACAAGGCCAAAGTTGTAGAGTGCCCATTGAGGATCGAACTCACTACTTAGGCGTAACTTATATAGCAAGACAAGCTTGCTAAACACTACACCGCGTCGAAGTGCCCGAAGTCAGTATTCTGATGGTTGGTCATTGAAATACAGATTTATGGGACATTACCCACACGAATATCGAATCACCTAACACCGAATAATGTGGGTCATGTGCATAGTGCTTCATCTCAGAAATATAGACAGATACTGATTTTTGGGAGGGCAAAAAAACTTTTTCCAGTAATCCATAACTTACGTTAAAAGTCTTCATCTGAAAATTCCTCGAAACTA